AGAGAGAGAGAGAGAGAGAGAGAGAGAGAGGCACCAAATCATACCCGCCTGAAAATTTGCCAAAAGTTTCAGGAAAGCATGTGGACCAATCACTTTTACAAGTAGACTGTATTAATATGATTCTCTCTCCTGAAGAGTCCAATGATTATCACTAGCCAATGGAGATGTCTGAGACTGAAAGCAGTTCAACTGCAGCAGCTCCTAATCCATTCTCCCACTGCTCTTAGGTTTGATATGCATATGTGTAGCTAAAGGTCCTAGGAATGAAGAACTGTGAAATGCAAGTAGATTTCACAGGGGACTCTGATCAAATGAGGACTTAGGTTTAGAGTGGGGGTAGTGGAAATAAAATGGTTTTATTGTACTGCAATTGTGCTGAGAAAGAAAAATGTTGTTATATCAAGCCCCCTGCAATGGAATGGCAAATTATTTCCCATGATTATGAACAGTTATAAGAGAAGGAAGCATGGCAGGGGAAGGTGATGCTTTGCCAAAAGAAGGAGCTAAGAATTAAGAAAATAGCAGAAAGGCTCTTGATGATTAGCTGCCTTTCACCTACAAAAGTATGGGACATTCAAGCAATTGGGGGATAGATTTAGTGTGGTTTCTGAAGAAAACAGATATATTTATCTTAGTTGTTTCAGAGAAACAACAATGGCTACTCATAATCACTTGGAAACCCACTGAATCTCCATTGGAGATGTAGATTTTGTTATCTTGAAAGCAGAAAATGTATTTTCTCATTTACTCTTTATTTGGCTATATTTTTCAAAGAGATGTCATAGATATGGGTGCTTTAAGACTTCAAAGCTTGAGCTATCTATTTTGCTCCTCAATCCCCCAATCCCAGAATGCCAACACCGAGGACCAAACTTTTCAGCCCACCCAATCTGGGAGGAGCTGTCTGGAACTGCGAAAGGCATACTGGCAACATGAATATTTTGCTACCCTCTAATCAAGCATCCAGAGGCACACACACACCACAATGGGAATTAAAGTCTCCTCCTTTCCATGCACCCAAGATTTCCCCTCCAAAATCACTTTGTTTCATGTTAGTATTCATCCCACATATTCATCCCAGAAGAAATCTGGTTGCAAAGAAATGGTTAAAAAACATTTATAGTCAGGCTGTGGTTAATCTGCAGTTAGCCTGCCTGCCTTGATTTCATACTATTCCTCCTCCCAAATAGTTTTATGCTACTAATCCTCCTCTTCCCCCCCCCACCCAAAAAAAACATGCACATGGTTACAAATGTTCATTTTTTAAATTATTACTTTAATATGTTTCTTGGGGAAGAAGATTATTCTCTTTTGGTAGATCTATGACAAGTATGTCATAAGTGTATATTTAACCATTGGAAAGAATGGAAAACAACTGATTACCTTAACCGAATGTCCAAATGAGGCAAAAGAGAAGTGTGAAGATTACAGTTTTTCTCCATTGTGTGTATTAATCATTTGAAAGTGTTGCCACTCTGATTTGAATAATGTTTTCCTTCAGACCAAAATCTATGATAACCATTTTAATAGGTTTTGGTTCTGTTCAGTTTCACTAGCCGGGCAAGTATCTTATCTTCAAATAAAGAAGAAATATTGACAGATCTTTCCTTAGGTGTCACACTGAAACAATTAAAAGAAAGTTCACTAGAAGATTTTTTAGATTAAACTTCACAGAAAATATGAGATTTTTGCTGAAAAGTTATTGAAGTTCATACCACCACTTAATTCAATTTGTCTTGGTGAAAGTGGGTTTTAGCACACACCATTAACAAAGCCAAATATTAAAATAGATTGAATGTTATGGCAACTTCAAGATTTTCTTTAAGAAATCTCATTCCAAACATTGAGGAAATATGCTATCATATGAAAAATGTGATTAAAACATATTTTTAGTTGAATCTTCCACTCCCCCTTTTTTAAATGAAACAATCACTGGTGTTCCTCATTTTTTAAAAACTTGGTGGTCTTGAAAACTGTTCTGTGACATCATTTATGAATTTTACTGAACTACTTGTTATACTTTGAAGTGTACATTATGATCTGTTGCAGAAACACAAAGCATCACATGCTGTGTGTAAGCTGAAACCAGCATGGACGTTGTGCAAGCTGAAATCACTTAAGATGTTGTGGATATATATATTCCTGTGACTTGCATAGCCAAGTGATAAAAAAGAAAAATCTTGATTTTAGTTGCCAAGCTGTATAGTTATATAAAGAAATGGAAGCAATACTTCTCACTTGTTTAAATGTGAGACCAAGATTGATTACTTTATTTGAAGTTATCAGTAAACACTTTTGCTGAGTCAGAGACAACTCAACAATGGTTCTTCTCAGTGTATTTTGTATTTCTTACTATAGTGTATTGGAAACATCTGTGTTTGTTTTGTGCAACTGAAATGTATGTTTCCTTTTCACTTAGGAAGGCTGTCAGCCACCAAACAAGCCACTGCCAACAAACTTTTTGAAATGTGATGTAAATTCATTGTTATGTGGCAGGTCTTTTTTTTTTTTCAATTCCTCTTTCCACCTACAGTTTCCAATGCCACTTTGTTATGAAGAGACCACAATTTTTTCCACAGCAACTAAGAAGCATTTTGTAGCTTAAAGAGTGGCAGAGAAAGGAAGGAAATCCTTCAAAAAAATCCAGTTCACATTATACACACTCATTCTTCCTTCATTATTTCCTGAATTCCCAGTTTTTCCTTAATGCCAGTCTGGGTTGTTCCTGAGGTTTTGTAATAGCAATGAGCAGATGTCACATGATGCTGGCCCAGTCTTGTAAACTTCCAGATGGGTGGACTTGAACTCCCAGAATTCTCAGCAATGGCCATGCTGGCTGGGGAATTTTAGGAGTTGAAGTTCATACATCTGGAGGTTTCTGGGTTTGGGAAACACTGATCTAAGGTTTATATTGTCTTTAGTGAAGACAAGAATTCCATGCAGGTTCAGACAGCAGTCTTTTCAGTTGTCCCTAGAGATACTGGGAAATGAACTTGGTGCAATACCACTGATCTTCAAACCTTCCTCATGGCATAATTTTTATACTTACCTATTTACTATTTTTATCCCTCATAGGTACTGTGTAAAATAGATAATAGAATCATAGGATTGGAAGGGAACTTGGAGATCTTCCAGTCCAACCCCCTGACCAAGGCAGGAGTCCTCATACCATCTTGGACAAATGGTTCTCCAATCTTTTCTTGAATACCTCCAGTGATGGAGCACCCACAACTCTGGGAGGCAAGCTGTTCCACTGCTTAATAGTTC